AAAAAGGCCACATATTAAGGTCTGGGATTAGATGGTAAGGAAACAATCAGTTCTTGTAATCAACATGTTAGATTAAGGAGAATGGGCAGGAATAAATATCTGAGTGACTTTGACAGGGGCCAAATTGTAATGGCAAGGCAATTGGGTCAGAGCAGGGGCGTAGCCAGTATTGGGCCAGGGCGGCACTGGCCCGCCCACATTACTCACTGGCCCGCCCAGGCAAGTTTGATAAAAATACATTTTTAGTTTATTTTTATTATTCAAATATATTTGTGAAAATATATTAATATATACCTGATTAATTGTTGACTGCTGTGTGTGTTTAATTTGTTTTCCGAATAAAATTTAACTGGTGAAGCAAGTTGTAGATATAGCCTCTCTCCGGAACGTTATTGGTCGCTATGGTTGCTGGGGGTTCCGACAGGAAAACTCTCAGAGGCGTCGGCGCCACAATAATGGCTAAACAACTTTCTTTAATGTGCTATTTGAAAAACAGCAAGAGTTGAGGAAGAAGACACACCACTGCCTTCATCTTCCGAGTCCACCCAGCCCAGTTCTTCCGACTCATTACCCCAGGAGAAGGTTAGTCAGGTGCTGGCGCCGGCCGCTTCTTGCTCCCTCTCTCCCCGTCAGCCTGACGCGGGTTTATCCGCCGATCTAACTGTGAGTGTGATATTATTATTTTAGCTTACTTTATTTTCGGGTGAACTGTATTTGCACTGCTGAATAGAATAAAATAGACAGGTTATTGTCTATACTGGTTTGTCCAGCCTTTGAGCTCTGTTGGTTGAACATGATGATTATAAAGGTGTAACTTTTTTCAGTTTGTCTATTAAATGTTAATTATTCTAGAAGTCATTTTTCAATAATTATTATTAAAGTCATTTTTTTCTAGGAAAAACTATAGGCCCAGTCACATTTTCACTGGCCCACCCAAAATACAATTTGTGCCTACGCCACTGGGTCAGAGTATTTCTGAAATGGAAAGGATTGTGGGTTGCAGTTACACCCCTTCATGACAATGGTGTTCCCTGGCGGAAGTGGCCTCTTTCAGCTGGATAATGCACCCTGCCACACTGAGTGGCAAGGGTTGAAGGTGTTGTCCTGGCCTCCAAATCTTCCCCGATCGGTGGGATGTGCTGGACCAACAAGTTCCACCTTGCAACCAACAGGAATTGTAGGACCTTCTGCTAATGTCTTGGTGCCATATAGCACAGAACGTCTTCAGTAGTCTTGTAGAGTCCATGCCTCATCGGGTCGGCGCTGTTTTGGCAGACACAGGATATTAGGCAGGTAGTCATATAATGTTTTGGCTCATCGGTGTATGTGGAGAAATGAGTTCAACTAATTGAATCAAAATAATATGGCAGCCCAGCATATTGTTCTTCATAATAATCAGTATAAATGATAACCCTTTTGAATGGCTTTGTGTGAGACACTCAGAATGTTTTAGCAATGAAATGTGTCTCAGCATGAGTACAGCGTTTAGCTGACTGCAGGAACACACTGAAAAAAGTGATTTTGGAGAGTGGTAAATATAATCTGTGGAAACCATATAAAATGTACATGATTATTGCAGCTAGCCAACGAATTCTAAAGTAATGGGTAAATTCTACATATGCTACCCATTCATGAACAGTAAGAACCATCACATAGAAAAATGCAGTAAAATTTACCCCCAAACCGTGAGTTTTTTTTTATTTAAATTGCGCATGCGTCAGCCCGCGTTTTTGAGTGAGTGTGGACGACGCTGGATCCTCTCTCTGGCTGCTATCGAACAGCTAAGTTAAGGTAAGCTATTTACATAGGAGTGCTGTATATATATATATTTTTAATTATGAGATATTACACTTCACTTGTATTCGGCTTTCGTTTGTTTAACATGCCATTACTTGAAATTAAAGTTTGAATCTGTTGCTGGCGTCACCATGGCCCGGGACACATCAAGCCGACGGTCGGCCGTTGGGCAACGTGTTCAAAGTTCAAAAATCAGATTTAATGTGATTACCTTGACAAATTATACGTTATTAAACAGCTATAAGACTCAGGTTTCAGTATTTGACCACTATTTTATTCTGAGAAATTTATAGTGACCGTTATGTATTGTTATGTTATGCAATAAAAAAACAGTCGATGCCTTTAATGTGAATTAGGCGCGTCATCCGCTCCCATCGGCTCCCATTCTGTTGTCGTCATGACAGAGCTCGACCTAATAACGTCCCTCAGTACTTTCTGCTCAAAAATATGCAGATTCGGAGAAATATTTATAGATTATCAATAGGTTTATGTCAGATTTCTGTATAGAGGAATTATATTTATTGAATATACCCAAAATGGGCCGATGTAATCATAAGAGCGCTGGATACTCAGACGTAGTGTGTTGTCAATACACACTGGCAGCCGGGGCCGGGGGGCGCCGTGTGCATATTATTATACTCCATATAGCTATATCACGAAGAAGAGCCACATGACATGTGACACCTGAAACCACCTGACCACAACAACGTTTCCAAAGATCGCTGAATACATGCAGATAAGGATGTTTTGGACGCAATAAACATGATTGCAACGATTTATGATGTATTTGTGTTCTTTAAGCCATGCAGATATCTTCATAATAGATTATATTTATAATGTAATGCTAATCGATATAATCTTTATGATAGTGATTTTTGAGCCAACGCCAACATTTATCAGGCGAAGGGGCAGGGTTCACTCTAGACAGGTCGCCAGTCTGTTGCAGGGCCGGAATTCGGTCTTAGTATATGTAAATCACTCCCCACTCCGCTAACAGTCTTATCACTAAATTGTATCTCCCTACAGACACAGAACATTGAGAAAAAAACAGATGCTGTTGTCTGCTGCCTCATTAACTACCTCGGTGAAAGACTAGAAGATCTTTTCCATGACTGCCAGGTATGTCATATTGATAACAGATTTTTGATTAACTCGAGGGATCCTCCTCTCCTCTCCTCTCGTATCCACCTTCTCCTTTTGCCTTCCACTCCCCCTCTGCTCTCCTTTTAGATAAACTGAAATATATTGAAACAGCATCTTAAATAAAATAAAAATGTGTATGCTTTTTGTTTGTTTCTTTTTAACATGTAGGAATGTGAGGAGGACTACACAGACAAAACGATGAAGGTGATTGTGAAGCAATGTCATGGCTGAGGAGGATCCATCAGATTTGTCTATTGTGATCGAGGGAAACCAAGTGATGGAAGGATGTGGAAGCCGAACAAAGGCATGCATACTGCTGATGGGACTCATTTATGCAATCGACATCGAATATCCAAAGGAGCTGAAGAACACGTTTGAAGCTTTTCAAAAACTTTTTTGGGAAATTGACGGGGCAAAACTACTGAAAAAGGTCCACAGCCTCAAAAATAAGCTCATGCAGTAGACACACATTTCCCCTCTTGTTCGAAGAGGATCTTTTGTCTGGACATACTTTTAATGGAGTTGTAATGGAGTGTAGTTTTATATTTTTCTTCTTTTCCCTTGTACTTTATTTAGCACTTAATTCTGTGTTTTTTTATAATTTGGTGCATCATTGCTGCATATAAACAAGGCTGTTCGGTTATTTGTTATATGAATGTACCTGGACCACAGATTTGGTCAGTCACTGTTGTTTAAATCTGAAGAGACACAAACCCCTCTGTTTCACAGACAAGGCTTAAGATAGTCCTAGACTAAAATGCATGTTTGAGCTGTTTTAACTGAAAGCAACTTGCACTGAAATATCTTAAAATATGTCTGCTAATGTTTTGTCTCAAGATGCACACCAGTAATGTTTTGTCTAAGGCACGTTTATAAAAGCTACTTAAATGTCCAAATTTAACTAAGGCCTAGTCCTGGCTTAATCTAAGCCCTGTCTGTGAAACCGGGCCAAAGAGTTTAGTCTAAGAGTTTAGATACAAGAAAATGTGATTGGACATCCATTACTGCTCTGATCTCCTCACTTCTCCTTTCATTTTCTCTTCTCTGCTCCCTTCTTTCCTCATTTCTCTTTTCTGCTCTGATCCGGATGTCCTAAAACAGGGATATGTTTTATTTCCAACATTATTGAAACAACATTTGATAGATCAGTGAGTTATAAAACATGTTCATTACTTGAAATGTTGTGTAAAGCTGTTGTGCTGCACTATATTTTGAGTGTTTCATAGGATTTTTTTGGATTAAAAACATTGATCTGATGAACCATCTGAATGTCTTTATTGTGGGGGGTACATTTTACCTTCTCTGAATAAGTAATTGTTATTAACTGATATTAATTAACTTTGATTTGAAGAGATAATTTTTACCTAATTTTAATGAGTAAGTAGCTGTTGAATATATACATAAATGTGAGGTATTGTTACCCAATTTATGCAAGTATTTAATAGCTTTTTACTTCAGATAGTTTATACTCAATATATGGGATTAAATCTACCCCACCAAAGTCGATGCAAATTGTTACCTCACATTTATTGGGTAAATTCTATAGATTAGTTTTTACAGTGCACATTCTCAGCGTTGCTCTTCTTGTTACGTTCCCCTATTCCTTTCTTTCATTCTCTCTGTCTCTCTCTATCTCTTCCCTCATTCCTCTCCCTATGGTTTCTTTTAAAGTGCTAATGTGTGCTGAAAGAGTGTGGAAATTCATACTCTCCCAGGCATTCATTACTCCCCAGATCTTTCTTACTTGGTAATAAAAAAGAATTAGGCATTAGTTAAGGGTGTTGATATACAGTGGGTCTACGGAAATGATCCCTCTCTGAATCCTATGCCCTTTTTTTTTTTTTCATTGAAAAGAAAAAGAGTAGCTAGAACATTTAGCTAAACTTTTCTTTTTGAGTTCAATAAAATAAGTCATTTTAGAATTAATTTAATGAAAATTATTTATATCTTGCAAGTTGCAACCGGAAATTGTGTGTGTGTGTAATGTTTAGGTAAAAGTTTGTAATGTTTCAGTGGCTACATCTTGATGTTTTAAACATCTGTGTATGTGTGTTTTCCAGGTGGTGGACCTGTACTGGGGCATTGATCCAGAGGAGTGGGATAGTCCAGAGCTGCAGAGACTACGGATGAAACTACTGGAAGAATGTCTGAAGACTGCAGCCGGCCCATGCTTTGTTGTGGGTATATATGACATTTCATCAAACCCTAAACCAGCAACTTTATGAGGGAACATGTTGTAAATCCCTAATACATCATCAAAAATATAGAATTGGTGGTATTTTGGGTTACGGTTATGGAAACTACAGTTGCCATGGTGAATACACAATATTAACATGGGCTGTTAATAAGACACAAGACATATAGACACTCATCCTGATGAATGAACATCATACCTGCATGCAAATCCTTCCCAGCTTAGACACAACATACGACTTACGTAATTTGTTGGTACTTTTCGTACTTTTCGTAATTGACAATGTAACTGCAATGTTGCACGCCTGTAATTTTAACCGCATAACGCTTTCTGCGTGAACTGGCCATAACAATTTAGGAAAATAACATTTGTATTATCACACTGACATATAGCCTGACATCATCTCATCTAACAGCAGATACTGAATCAGTCAAACACATCAATCTAGTGAATTTACATAGAAAAATAATGGAAAAGTAGCGCGGTGGAATGGAAAAATGTGTTCTGTCTCAAAAGAGCAAAGTCTTTGCAGAAGAGTCAACAGCTTTCGTGCACATCTTTCAAAATCTTTCAAAAGTCTTGCATCAGAAAAACATTAACATTTTGTTGTTGTTGTTTCTTTGACTACACACTCGGTGACGCACTCGGAACGGTCTTGAAGCCCACTTTTTCAAGAAACACTGCTGTATTTAAAATGACTATTTCCTTGTATTTATTTGAAAAATTTGATCCCCAGTGCTCACAGACTTACTGACAGTCTTTACTTCATCTTTATTCATTTTTTTTAACTAAATCTTTATTTATAAACATTGTATAATACTACAGAATCAAGAAGAGTAAGCTCGCGAATGAACTCTCGGCCAATGAGAGTCTGACATGCTCTCATTGCGTCAGAGCCCGCCGAAACGGGCGTGGTCAGAGAGTATAATATTGCCGTCCTAGGCTGTAAACTCTGGTTTTCATAGAATGAAGCGAGAACGCTAGTAGCACAAGCACGGCCAGGAACGCAATACTCGTTCCCTCATCTAGAGAGAACCGAGGTTACGTTAGGTAACCGATTCGTTCTCTTACGAGAGGTTCTCTCGTATTGCGTAAGCTAGCTTACGCTACGGGAACACCTGGTCAACGCCGTGCGTGCTAAGCATCCACTATGAGTCCCAGGGGAGACCCCAGGGAACCCTTATGAGTGGGAATAAATATATGTACATGTGACAAAGGCCAGCAGAGCGGGCCGGAGATTGTGTAGTACATAAGCACATGATAGAGAGGGACCGAGCTTAACCGGTCTGTGTGAATAACTCCCTATAGTGCAGCTCAACCAGAAGAGCTGTAACATACTAGACTGCTAGTAGTTTAGCCTGCAAGGCGGGAACTTCCAGATTGTAAAATCTGACAAAGGTGGAGGGGGAAGCCCATCCCGCTGCCACACAAATGTCATGAATGGAAATTCCGCTGGACCATGCCCACGATGAGGCCATGCCTCTAGTGGAATGAGCCCTGATGCCCAGAGGGTGTGTGTGTGAAAAGAGAGAGTTATTTCTCAGAAAAGTTATTTCTCAGAAAAGATTAATCTTTCCCGTAGCGTAAGCTAGCTTACGCAATACGAGAGAACCTCTCGTAAGAGAACTTATTGTAGCGTTGGTTATGCATGTGATATTTACTGTCTTTTTAATTAAATAGTGTGATATCAAATATATAGACTTTATATCAGCAGTCGGCCACCCTGCTCTATAAGATGTCTGCACCAACTATCAAAAAACCCACATTGATTGCCCACTAATAGTAATATGCAGTATATATGGATAAATGGATAAATAGATACAGGCAGCTTCTGTGGCCAGTGTGCCACCTTTGCAGTGTGAAGACAGCTTAAGAAAGAGGAAACACCCATTATTGATTATGCAAACATTCCGGTTGCATCATCACTGTCAGATTTTCAACATCAGACTTTCTAGTCGAATAAAGGGATAGTAAAACTACGTGTAAGGCAACTCCCTTATAACCGTACAACCTCACACCTCTAAAACTGCAGCACAGCACATACAATACAGTGTGCTTTGAAATCTTAGAGCGGCAGTAAAGCGGAGTTTGGGTGTGGGTATGATGTCTCTCTAGTCAGTGATAGAGAGGGGCTGACAGATAGACCTCGTGTAACAACCATATGGGAGCGAAGCACTTGAGTTCACACGCTGGATGGAGCTCATCGTGCTTCTGTAACTCTCTCTTTCTCTCTTTCTTTATCTCTCTCTCTCTCTCTCTCTCTCTCTCTCACACACACACACACACACACACACACACACACAGCAAAATTACTTTGAAATCTCTCATGAGGCATGAGGAAGGGTCTGGTTTAATGGCTGATGTTGCAGGAGATATGAGATCATGCAGAAGAAGTGAAGTACGCACACGTGCGCGCACACACACACACGTTCCAGAGCACCAGGTGGGTTACTAACAGTTGAGTGGATTTATAAGGAATATACATTCACACATGATCACACGTGTGTGTGTGTGTGTGTGTCTGTGTATAGAGTTCTCAGGTGTGAAGAGAGATTGATTTTAAATTATTAAAATGTAAATGAGCAATCTGGGCAAGAGGATTGGGATCTAATTGGAGTCAGAGAGCAATGTTTGAGGTGAGGCAGAATATGTGTGTGTGGTAAAGTTAAGTGTGAGGTGAAGTGGTGTGTAGGAGCCGCTGAGCAGGGAACACTTCTAATTGTATCCTTGCTTTCTCTCTCTCTTTGTCTCTCTTATGCACTCACACGCATGCTGTCTTACACTTTACATTAGTGATGCTCACCATGGCCTTGTTTCCACCTGGTTTTAACATGCATTTAAAATGCATGACGGCTCGCCTCAGGTTGAGCTTAGTTTCTCATTTGTGGTTCGCGATGAGGATGAGCTGTCTATTGCAGCATTGGAGGGTGGGCTTGCGCCAGGGCTCGAAATAAAAAAAAAAAAATTGGTAGCACTGGTGCTCCCATCTTCCCAAAAAAAAAAAAAAGCAGACAAAAGTTAGGAGAACCACTACTAAAATGTTTATATAGATTATTTTGCGATTATTTCTTGTGCTTGGCACTCTCCCCATGTTTAATCAAGCTCTCACGCTAAAAATGTGTCCATTAGGCCATTAGGCTTGGGCGGGCCATTTGTGGGTGGGTCGTGAGTGGATGAGAGATAAATAAACGTTATGTTGGAAATATATATTTTTAAAAATAATTGGTAGCACTGGTGCTCCCATCTTCCCCCCCCAAAAAAAAACCGGAAAAAAGTTAGGAGAACCACTACTAAAATGTTTATATAGATTATTGTGTGATTATTTCTTTTGCTTGTCACTCTCCCCATGTTTAATCAAGCTCTCACGCTAAAAATGTGTGCATTAGGCCATTAGGCTCGGGCGGGCCATTTGTGGGTGGGTCGCGAGTGGATGAGAGATAAATAAACGTTATGTTGGAAATATATATATTTTTTTCGTCAGGCACTAATTTGTAGACTCTCATTAAGCTAGGCAGTTACGGGATCCACTTGTTTAAGCATAAATGGAGGCAAAACAGATCCAAGAGAAATTTCAAAAAGGACAATTAAAAACAAAAGGAAGGAAACAAAAACAATATGATTAGATGATCTGGTTGTATACATACTAACATATTGGTGCAGCAACTCTTAAAGAAATTTGGGTAACAAACCTAATGCTGGGCACACTTAAAGGAGAACTCCGGTCAATTTTAACATTGAGCTCATTTTTTTGTACATTTGGAGTGCTGTCAGTACAGACAAAAACGACAAAAATCGGTGTTGCCTACACCGTGTTATCCTCTTTTTAAAATTCGCACCCTGTTGACTTCAATGGGGCAAGTTCTAAACCTGCTTTTAGCCTCTTAACAACCTTTAATGCAGGGCTGGACTGGGACAAAAAATCGGCCCGGGCATTTTGGCCCAGACTGGCCCACTATATAACACAACCGAACTTTGCACGCCCTTGAATATGTATACCAACTCCTATTAAAACCACTAATGCCATAAGTGAATAGGAGTGAGTAAGAGTTAACCGATTAAAAAATAACTACTAAGTTGAACTATACTCCACAGTGATGAATCCTAAAGAAAGCTATAAGCTGGGATAGCAATACGGGTTTTTCCCACAGGTTTTTGTGAAATCTGTGGTGAGTGCACCTCTGTCCCTCTAGGGGGGTTCGGGGGCATGCTCCCCCGTAAGAAAATTTTGTGCTTTTTTATGTTAATTCATCAATCTGGTGCACTTTGAGAGTTAAAAATAAAGAGCTCCAACCCATATTCAGTGTGCAAATTGAACAAAGAAAAACTCAAAACTCTTTTAGTTGTGATATAGTGTCTGTCTACATTACACTACTACATAATAATAGTTATAATATTAATCCCATGGCAGTAATAGCCATATGTTGTAAAACAAATGCACTGAAAAATAAAAGCAACTTTCATAATTAGTTTCGTACTAATTTCTATACAGAGATAAGCACATGATCTTTTATTTTGACGGAAACAGCATCGAGCTTTTATTTTGAAGAAAAATATGGTTTACAAACTCATTACTCATTATTGTCTCATTACAATTCTAATAAAATGCGTAATCGTCAAATATGCAGATGTGTAAATAATGCGTAACTGGGTAGTGGGTTCCTACATAGCCTAATGGTGTGTTCACACCGAACGCGAATTTAATTATTTGGGCGAGTAGATTACATACAAAGTCAATGCAAAGACGCGAATAGACGCATCATTCGCGCCGGGCGTTGCGAATGACGCGAATTGGGCGACACGTTTGCCGCGAATGTCTTCCGCGCAAGTTGAAAAATTTGAACTCGAGCGAATGTTCAAACGTCTAACTAAACGCGATAGACGCGTATTTGACGCTCTATTCGCGTTCGGTGTGAACACACCATAAGTGTTGTTGTGACAGTAGCCTAGTTCTGCTTACCACAGTTCTCTGCACTCACTCATCTCTCTCCTTATCCTCCTCACTATCCTCATCAGACACTTGAAGGGCCTTTGAAGTTTCTTTTTTTTTTCACGCTATTTCTCTGCACATTCCTTGCGTTTCTTCTCCATCGCT